GGGGAGTGGGGAGAGGGGGGGAGGGGGGGGGAGGGGGGGGGAGGAGGGGGGGGGAGAGGAGGGGAGAGGAGAGGGGGGGTGAGGAGGAGGGGTGAGGAGAGGGGGTGAGGAGGAGGGGTGGGGGGGGGTGCAGATCAGGACAAGCTGCAGGTTGGATGTGACTCAAAGACTCTACTGACCCTGAAGATCAGGCGGAGGAGGTGGTTGTTGCTATGGCGACCAAATGACAACATTCACTGTGTGAAACCCACGGTGGTCAGAGTGCCCCCTGTTGGTCAGAATAGGTAGAAAAAATGTTTTGTTGTTGTGTCCACGCGTTGAACCCTTTGCTCGGTTCCAGCAGTGTGAATCTGTGACTGAAGGCTGAGGTCACAGCAGAACTGGAGGAACAGGACCGGCTGCTCCAGTCCGTCCACGTTCTCTCTGTGGTTCCTGTGTTCCGGGGACTCGCCCCGTTCAGGAAGCTGGAGCTGCTGCTAATTCATCAACATGTCTCCAAATGTTTTGTTTGTAAGAACAACTTTGGAGCTGGGCATATTTCACATTCCACGTCTCCTCAGACGTTCCACTCACCGACCAGAACCAGAACCAGAACCTGACCATCTGGAGTTTCACAGATGAGAACTGAGCTTCAGGTTCAGAGAGGAACACACACACAGAAGACGACCTTTGTTCATTAACATTAACATGTCGTGAGCACTGAGGCTGCACTTCCAGGCTAGGACCTACAGGGGGCACTGTGATAATGATGAGCTGCACATTTGGACTCAGGTTCAAATGGATTAAAGACAGAAAACTGTTCAACAGGAAACAGGTCTGAGGTGTTCTCTGTTTGTCAGCATGTAGCAACCTTCTCTGGCCTGTAGGGGGTGCTAAGAGGAGCTGACTGAGGAGATCAGAGCAGGAGGAGAAAGTCAGTCCATATTTATGTCCCTTCAACTCATGTTTGACATCAGTTAATGACTGGTCACATGACTGTGGTCACATGAGGTCACATGACTGTGTGGTCACATGACTGTGGTCACATGACTGGTCACATGACTGGTCACATGACTGGTCACATGACTGGTCACATGACTCCTCTCCACATGCCTCCACTTCTGTGATGTGTTTTTATTTGTTCAGTCGGTTTGATTTTCCATGTTGACTGACTGACGGCCCTGAGGGTCATGTGACTCTGCTGCCATCCTGAGTGTGTGTGTGTGTGGGTGTGTGTGTGTGTGTGTGTGTGTGTGTGTGTGTGTGTGTGAGACCCCTGTTATCTTTAGAGCTGGTGTGTTTGTTTTCACAGACGTGGCACAATCTGCACTGACGTCATGTGACACTAGGCGTTATCTTTCCTTTCATCCACACACACACACACACACACACACACACACACACTCTCAGGCTGATGGTGTTGTCAGTGTCAGTGTCAGTGTCAGTGTCAGTGTCAGTACTGACCTGTGGTCCACTGTTGACCAGCGCTGCGACAGTTAAACATCGATACAAATCTGTGAACAATTCTCATTGGTTGAATTGGTTCTAAAGCTGAGGCTCCTGGTCCCTGCAGCAGTCCAGGCCTCCTCTGTCAGTGATGTCAGTGATGTCAGTGATGTCAGTGAGTGTTCCAGCCGTGGAGTTGAGACACTGAACTCTGGGCCTGGATCGTTCTCTGCTGCTGGAACAGAAGGATCAGGGTTCCTGTCAGGAACTGGTTTCCCAACAGTTCAGGCCTGACCGTCGCTTGGACGACTGCCAACCTTTGAAGTAGGAGGAGCTCTGCAGGCGGTAGTACTTCAGAAGTACTCTGTAGTATTCAGGATCTGGAGTAGACTGTTGCTGCTGTCCTGTTGTTGTTGTAGTAGATTTAATAGGAACAGTACTCCGAGTACTTGTAGTACTCTGAGTACTCGGAGTACTTGGAGTACTCAGAGTACTTGGAGTACTCAGAGTACTCGGTGCAAGTCTGTGGTGTTCCTACCTCACAGTGTCGGGCCTTTGTTGGGAGTTCTGGTTTGCTCACTAATACTTCTGGAGAGTTCCCTCACCCAAAACACCTCCCAGGAGGAGGGAGGGGGGAGGAGGGGGGAGGAGGTCACGACCTGGTGCCAGACGACCTCCATCAGGATCCAACTTTGGAGTCTCACACAAACACACGTATATGGAATATATATTTTAAAGTTTTTTTTATCTATGTAAACATATATGTCTATATATGAATCCATATAAACATAGTTATGTATTTACATATATGTTAGGGCTTTTTTATATATTTAATCAAGTTAATATCACCCCCCTGCTCCCCCGCCCCAATGTTTCAAGGTGAAGAGATCACTGTTGTCAACCACTGCTTGTTGCCCCCCCCCCTCCTCACCCCCCTCCCTTTTTGACTGACTTTGTGCTGCACTTCACACAGTGAGAGGGAGGAAGGCTGAGCTGAGGGGAGGGAGCAGGAGAGGTGGGAGGAGAAGGAGGAGGGAGAGGTGGGAGGAGAAGGAGGAGGGAGTAAGCAGCAGGAAGGAGAAGACTCCTCAGTCTGAGTGAGTCCTGCGGGCGGTCGGCTACAGGATGAGGGCAGTTCCTCTGCTCCCGCTCTGAGAGGCGGCTGCTGGGCTGGGGGTTTTTTTTTTTTTTTTTTTTTTTTTTTTTTTTTTTTTTCATTTTTCCATTCACTTTAAAGTTCAGTATTGGAATAGCACTGCTCTGATTCCACTGTGTGTGCGGAAACTCTTGTTTATGTTTCATTAATGGCGTATATTTCTTAAATCCATTACCAGTCAGTGAGAAGCCCGAAGGTTTTTATAACGTCTTTGCTGACAAACACTAAATATCAGAATAATAAAAGAACAGAACTCTGGTGGAACTCTTTAACTCAGTGTCTGTTTGGTCGCCCTGAAACACCCACAGTAACGGATTCTCACGTGCACGGTCCGTTCTTTTACCTTTGCTGAGACAGTGGTGAGTGTGAGTGTGTGTTTCATTTACAAGAACCTTAAAAATATTGGTATGACCTGTGTGTGTGGTGCAGCAAGTGTAAAAACCCTCCCAAGGCTCATACTGTCTGTACTGTGTTGAGTTCAGTTAGACACTGCATCAGTTTTTTCTGTTAAAAAAAAACCCAGGTGGAAGAGGAGAAAAGACTGGGACTGAATGTTTTCAAAAACAGGTATTCTGCTCATAATGGTGTAGGTAACTGAATTATCTCACTCAGATTTTCAGGTTTCATTACAGACTATATATATATATATATA